TCCTAAATACTCTCTTCTTCTTCATTTAAGTGTCGTTCTCGGGGACTAGTATTTTTTAAGAAGACACGTGAGACATGTATTGTCTTCCTGAAAAGTTATTAAATTGACTTTTTAAGTCTTGAATATTCAAATTTGAAATTTAAAACTCAAACGACATCTATGGAAAGATAAGAAATGTATTACTTGAAAAGGAAAGTGGACAATTATTTTGGAACAAACAAAAAGGAAAAGTATGACACTTATTTTGAGACAGAGGAGTATTTATTTGAGGGCCTACTAATAATATAATATTAAATTTTAAAAATGAAAAAAGATAATTGTAAAACATGGAGGGCACATATTTATCCAATAGAGGAATTGTCAAAGTGTCAACATTCATTTTCTTCTCACATTAATTCATAACAAATAATATATATATATCTCTATATTATCATCTCTTTCTCATCAATGAGTAACAAACTTTATCTACATATGATGATCATTATATATTATTATTTAATTGTATATAAAAGCAATTATAAAAAAATATATAATAATCATATTCAACAGTCAGGGAATAAATTTTTTCAATGACCAAGAGATTATTAAAAAATTAGCTCACAGAATTGTTAAATAGAGGTATGTTAAATGACTCCCTCCTCATAATTGAGGAGGAGTTTCTTATCAAAAACATTCACAAGTGAAAATTTATTGCAAAAGAGTAATAGTTAAGGGGAATTTTTTACAATTCATCTTTTTTTTAAAAGCAAGACTTAAATGACTTATTGAAATTTGAAGGGGCAAAGTAATTTGGTTTGCAAATCACCTTTTAACAACCATAGATAGATGATAGCCATAAGCAATGAATCTACTTTAATTTTTCTATGCAAAGGAGGGGGGATACTGATCGATAGTCTTCATAAAGTATGGTGAATTTGAAAAACTATAAATATTATGCTAATTATAGGTATTTCGTTAATTGGACATTTATTATAGTAATTAAAAGATTCTCTATTAAGTTGCAGTAAAAAAATTTACTATAATAAAAAATTTTCCAACCACGCCTCCATTAATCAAAAGAATTGTGGTCCAATGATATAACTTTTTCACTTTTAAAATATCATTTTATTTATTAAAATTTGGCATCACTCCATCAACTCAGTACTGAGATGCTATAGATTTCTCGTCACTGGAGTTTAGCGGGCGGCTAACTATTAAAATTTTGGATTACCCTTAAAGACACGGCTAAAACAGTTATTCTTTTCTTTTCTTTTCTTTTCTTTTCTTTCCTTTTTCCCTCTCCCCGTCCACGTGCGTTCCCCTCAACTCTTTCTTGTCGTATTACTATTTTTTTCTCTCACACCATATATTGGCGCGCAACATGGCGCCGCGGCCATCACCATAGGGGTGAAGATCAAAGATATACGGAGTAATAGTATTCAGAAATTCGGGGTAAATTTATATAGGGCGGTTTTTTCATTATTTTAGTCAAGATAATTTTAAAATTTTATTGATATGAATATAAAAAAATATAAATTTAAGAATGCAAAATATAATACAGTACCTCCGTGTCTAAGTTTGATGGAGATACATGCACAAAATAATACTGGTGAAAAATAATTATTGAAAAGATAAAACTCTTATACATGTAACATGATTTTACTACATTTCTTAGCTATTACACGTGAATTTGTGGATTAAAAGAAAGCTTATTGCATGGAGCGAACTTAGAAATTTGATTTTAATTTACGAAGTCAGATATAATTGTGGTGGCAGTCATTATAAATGTCCAGCAAATCTCCGCGTTAAAATAGAATTTTCTTTTCTCACAATGCTTTTTTAGTTTAATTCAACTCTCTCAATTAATTATTCTAATTTAATTTCATTTCCTTAGTTATTTCTATATTGCCTTGCATTCCTTTTGCAATTTTGATTCCTTTCATATTTCCGACACTTTGTTATTTCAACTCCATTTAAAGTTCGTTTCCAATAAGTTAAATCCAAATATTAATTTATTTCAATTTTGCTATCCTCTCATTTGAATCAATATATAAGTTAAAATTAATTCATTAGAGAGAAAGCGAGAAGAAGGAAAAAGAAAAATGGAAATAATAGTACAAGAAAAAGAGGAGATATGCTCTAGAATTTGTATGTTATTTATTGAGAAATTGAACAAAATTATTTTTCTTATAATAATAATTTTTTTTTGAAATTGTTCGTAATACATCCTATCTTTGTATGTGTCCATATACTTTTGGTGAGTCTAAAGTTATATTAATCATAACTGATATCTATATGGTAAGAATATTAAGAGTTAGTAGTTGGAAGGAATATTCGAACATGGTATAAGAGCAACTCAATCATTTGGACAATAATGACACTTGCCAAACCAAGTTAATTAGCGAACATTATTAATATGTCACACGAGAAAAAAATTACTCCATAAAACAGAGAAAATCAATTCCAACAGACCCGGAATGGTATTGCAGTTAACAACCATGAAACAGAGAAATGTTCTCCACGTTTGGCACAACACACTCTGGTACTGACACTTGGTCCTTCCTTTTCATCCTCTTCCCTCTTTATATAACTAAATCAATATGAGACTTCAAAAAAAAAAAAAATTAACTGTTTTGTACCACAAAAGAAAGAAAGAAGATTACCCATTAAAGGAGATAAAGCAATGAAGATGGCAAGCTTGACGATAAAGCTTTCAAAATACCTTCCTGACAGAGCATTCTTGGTGCCCAATGGGTTTCGTAACCCTAGGGTTTTTGTCACTGCTTCAAGACCTTTGCAGAAGGTAAGTTACAGACTTCCAACACCATTTCAGCTATTAAGTTTCTTATAAAACTCTGTTTAGATGCATCGAATTGATGATTTGAATTGAAATCGAGAAGCTGTGAAAATTGAGTTGCACCATTTATGTTGAAGTCAGATCATTTCTTGTGTATTGGACGATCAATGCACAAACAGAGTAACCCTATTTTACGTGGAGTGATCTCCATCCTCCCACGCACTCCAAGGCATAGGAGAGATTCAAATTTATTTACGATTTCATAATATATCAAATGGGGCATTATAGAACATGCATCTATCAGATGTATGGCTCCATGGTTGAGGAATGGTCATCCAAAATCCTCAATTTGAACCTATAACACTAATTATGGAATTATTTCTTATTTTTCATTAGTGATCTCAATCCCATATACATGGTGAGTAAAGAAGGCATTCACTTGTTATGAGATGTCCATACACTGCAATTCACCATTTGATATTCATGTTCCTATGCAATCTTTATAAACAAAAATGTCAATAGTCTTGCAATAACTTTATATGCCATGTGTACTTGAGTGTTAAAACTTAAAATTCTATATATATACATAATTAATAACAACTATGTCTTTTCCCTTGGAGGAACTTAAGAGGATGGTAGTTACCAAAACCAGAAACTTAAGACGGAGGAGTAACATTAATTGTGCATGTGCTTCTCAGAATTTGAAAATGGAAAAACAGATTTCTAAAACCGTCACATGCATGAAAGTGTATTTTCAGATATAACCTCAGGGGATAGGCTAATGGCAAGACTCTTAACATTTTGAGGACTGGAGTCAAATCCCAGTGGGACCACCTTCAGAGAGTTCTTCCACATGTGTCCAATGGTGAATTATAGGGTGTTCTAAGAAGCCTGACACCACCTGTCGAAAAATGATAACCATATATGCTAGCTAGTATGGTTCTTAGACTGACTTGATGTTTCTATGATAAGATATGTGTCCAATGGTGAATTATAGGGTGTTCTAAGAAGCCTGACACCACCATCTGTCAGAAAATGATAACCATATATGCTAGCTAGTATGGTTCTTAGACTGACTTGATGTTTCTAGGATAAGGTTATGTTAATGCAATATAATCCAAACATTTGTATTGCAAAGTAACATATTCAATTAATTTGTAATTGTGATTTGCATCATATTACTTAATTACAGACATAATTGTCACTAATTAACAGACCAAGTCAAAAGAGACCGAAGAGAAGGCGACTGAAGCAGCAGATGCAGTTAAAGACGGGGCTCAAGAAGTGAGGAAGACCTGCGAATTCGTGCGAGACACTGCCAAGTCTGCTGCTGATAATGTAACACTCTTAAGCCCATAACCAAACTGTTTTGCTTTTGTTCATTTTATTTTTTATTTTACTAATATCATGAGTTAACTAATTTTTCACATTATGAGAATTCAGGTGACTAAGGTGACAAAGGAAGTGGGAGGGAAAGTATCGGAAAATCTCACAGATAAAGTATCGGAAAAGATCAAGGAAAAAGTCGTTGGCAAGTGATTGTAGTTGATAAAATTTACCTAAGAAATTAGATTCATGAACACTATTCACTCTATAGACTTCTTCTTTTCTGTTGTTCTTTCTTTGAATCAGATGTCAAAAAGTTTGTTGACTGTGCTTTCTTCTTCTTCTTCTTCTTCTTCTTCTTATAAGAACTTATTGAATTTACAGTACTTTGTAACTCTTAGTTGTAACTTATCAATTCCTCTGTAATTGTATATGGTGTGTTACTCTGCCAAACAGATAATATTGGTGATGGATATTTATATGTTTAAATGTATGCTTTAAATTATTTTTGTATTTATATTAGAAGTTTGGTTAATTTTCCAATAATATCTCCTCTTCGAAATTGCATGATACATAGCAAAGATAGAATAAATTCCGAGCACGTTAATTGTACCACTTAGTTAGCATTAATGAGATTTCTTTCATAATTCCTTGGAGGGAGATTTCGGGTGATTTTACCTCCAGACTGTATTTTGGCATGAAGACGCCTAAATTTCTTCCGGTTATGATCCACTAAACGAGTCATGAAAATCGAAATGTAAGGTTAAGATCAGGAGTGAACATGTTTATGTTGAAACTTGAAAGCATGCCTGAATGTGCTTTTAAACTAAAAATGATATTTTTATGTTAATTGGCGAGGAAGAAGTAAACTAGGGTGTCGATTATGTGGACATTTGAATAAAACAATAAAAATAGGATTAATTCCCATGTTTATTTGTTCTCATTGACACAATTCCATAATAAAAGTTTTGAAACTATTTACGCTAACACATCACTTCATGAGTAGGCACATTATTACATTACAATCTCAAATGCTGTCAAAAGTAAAACAAGAAAAACACACATACACAACCAGGACATGGTAATGATGCTACAGATTCATATGACTCCGAGACCTAATAAAGGAAAAAGAAATATGAAATCATTCGATTCCTCAAAAACCCGAAAGCCAGTATATATAGCATGTAGCACCAGAAGTTGAGACGAAAGATGAGAAGACTGAGGAGCAAATGGTGTTTGAAGGGATGGAGGAGGTCAAGAAGGATGACAGTATAAGAAAAAAGAAATGAAAACAACTCTTCTGCACCTGCTCCTAGAATTGTCAGGTTGGTTTCACAACTGAACCAGGCCGAGGTTGCACAACACAATGTAAGGACAGCGGCATGAAAAATATAGACTTCTCAAGATAAAGAAAACGGATGGATGACAGAAAAAACAATGGTGGAAATTGAATATAGCTAATGCAATATGACGGTAAAATTGGAAATCTAACAGAGAAAGAGACTATAAATAAATGTATTTGGACCGGGGATGCTAGTGCTAACATTGGTGGCCTCTGCGGCAGGATAGAACACCAGCACCAGAAGTAATGTCGCCAACCATGGAAGAAGATTTCGCCCCCAAGCTTGAAGCTCTCGCGTAGCTGGCTGAGGCTCCGGCTCCAGATGGCGTGAAATAGGCCCCATTGAGCAGCAGGTCGCCCTCGGACCTCCAATTCCAGCCCTTCCATTTGCTAGCAGCTGTCTGCACTCTCTTTGTCACCTGCTCAACCAAGGCAATGCAGCATCAATAATCAGAAAATCCAATATGTCACGCTCGCTGCAGAAATGAAAGAGATGGGAATGAGGAGACAGACAGCAAGTGGTCATATAATTGCGCGATGTATATACCTCTTTTGCAAAGGGGTTGGATGGGGCAAGGTATCTGTTTCCTTGGCTGTTGATGGTGGGGTTTGCACTTCCACCAATGGCATACATTTCCCAGTGTGTGTAGTCATTGTTCACCACATGGAAATATCCATGCCTACACCTGCATTTTTCATGAATTGGCTTTGTCAGATCAGCATCATAATTGAAGGCAAATCCAAAATAGAAAATTTGATTGGATGTTGAATTGAGACTGAACCAAAGTATAGTTTAAGAAGTCCCTTTGTCTTGGTTAGAATTATTAATGTTACAAAGTTCATATATCAATCAAACACCTCATTTGGGGCCTATTTGACAACCACTCTTTACTTTTTTTTTTTTTTTTTGGTCGCGGATGGTGTACTGTAGCGAAGTAAAACAAGGAAACACATTTGGTAACTTTTGTTGCGATTTGAATAGTAACGTGTTTGTTTTTTAAAAAGAATGTTTCCATGATGTAGCGACAACATTGTAGCATTACACAGTACTAAAAAAAAAAAAAAAACTCTAAATGACCATTTATTTTTCAAACATGCAACACTTTTTTACCAAACATTGTTTTCATGTTTTTGCATCCAAAAATTTTGCAACAAATTTTAAGTTACTAAACAAAAATAGAGTTTCGAAACGCAAAACATTTCCGATTGCCAAACAGGCCCTTAGATGGTAAATTTTTAATCCATGAACATGCTGTTGTTTCATAATTATTTAGTGTGTGCATGTGTGTTTTTTACATTGGAACAGGGGGCTAAGAAAACAAAGAGACAAACAGTTGATATGAAAGCTCTGATCATATTACCTTGGCATTCTCTGGATAAGACCCTCTCCAAAATGGTTGTAAGCAATAGTCACTTGCATTTGCTTGTCTCTAGTATAAGAATCGCTATGACCCAACAGCATCACCTATATATGTTTCATCACATAAACATCAAAATTAGTCCTCCAATAAAAAGAACCAAATCAAACTAAATTTTCAACAGGACTTCACAGTATGCAAACCTCATTGTGGTGGGTGAAATAGTTATTCGAAATTGTAATGGCAGTCGAACCCATGACAGCATCAACAAGGCCATCAGGACAATTAGATAGCGAATTGTGATCAACCCAAATATGGCTCGACCCAAATATATTAATGGCATCACCATCAGATATTGTCCTCAAACCGAAGTGGGATGGCGAGCTCCTAACCATGGCATTCCCGGTGCGCTTACAGTCGTGGATGTGAAGACCATGAATGATGATATTGGTGATGAACTGGATTGTGATGCAGCCTCCATTGGCAATGTGGACATTGGCTCCGCGCCCATCAATCGTCTTGAAGCTATTCATAATGAGCTCCTGCTTCAATTGTATCACCATGTCGCGCTTGAACACGATCCACAGAGGCCTGTCCTGGATCACAGCATGGCGAAGAGTGCCAGGCTGGGGGTTGACAGGGTCGTGGTCGCTCGGGTCAGTGACAACGTAGAAGCGGCCATCACGACCGCCGACGGCATTGCGGCCAAAACCAATGCCACAGTCAGCCAGGCGCTTGCGGTTGCGATGCCAGTGGTGGTCACAACGCCAGCAGTCATCAATGGGGTTACCCGTTCCACACGAGAAGAAGCCCAATTTCCTCCTCTCTGTGCTGTTTTTTATGCTCCTGCTCAATCAAAAGCATTGTTACTGTGAAGTTGTTGTCCGAATTTTGTGTCAATCAACCTCATTTTGAAACTTTTGACCCCTTTTTTGTCTTGCAGGTCGTATATCAGGAATGTAAGAGTACTAGGATCACAAAAATCGAAATAGAAAGTAAGAGAGAGACAAAGAGTTAGGGGTTTGTGATCTCCCCTGTTTTTTTTTTATTTTTATTTTTGGTATAGTAAAATCTCTTTGTCAATAGTGAATTTTGAGTCGAATCATGAAAATCTGTGTATCATGCTTGATTTTGTATGTTATCTTTTAGGATTTGTCGTACCAAGAGATTTAGATGTTTCATTAGTGATTACAGTAACAAAATCAAAGTATATGTTCTATCATCGTGACATAAAAATTATGTGCAAAACGGACAATATTTACAAGATTGCGTTGGATGGACGGTGACGGTCCTTGATGTCCAAAACTGCCGCTGAAACTGAATTATTACTCGTTTGTCTCACTGCAATACAGACTGGAAGGGTTAATGATTGATGCGTCGGTGGGGGTAATTACATTTACTCCAACCTCACATACTTTACATGTGTAAGTGCAACGGATCTATCTCATCTTTCTCGTGGGTGTTAGACAATGAAGTTAAAGTTTTTTGTCATTTATGTAATGGATCAAATTTTGTTGGTCGGATATTAGCAAATAGACTTTGGCCACATATACATGGTCGAAGTGTCTCACACAAAAGATAAAGACTTAAAAAAACAAACCCCATGCAAATTTAGTTCTTCATCATATCATTTATATATATATAACTTTCTAGAGTGCAATAATTGAATGCACATATGTTGACAGATCTTAAAAGAAATGGCAAGTCTACCACCAACATTATGAAAATTTTATGCTACTTCTGAAATTATAAGAAAAAAATTCACTTTTACCCCAGCACAATTTTTTGGATCCGTCCCTGACCAACATTCACATGCATATATACGGTTACGTGAACAATTTTGATGATGCAACTACAAACTCCCGTAATAAACAAATGTAGTTGATTTGGATAACATTTTCAATGCAAAATACTTAATCGGGACGGTATGATATCTCCTGTTTAAACAAGAGAGGTTAAGAGTTCGATATCGTGTTGCATGTATGTGTATGTTTTACTTGAAATATGTTGTTTGGTTTCTTGGTTTCCGAATGCTTTACTGTGAATGTACAATTGTCCATTCGCAGGAGTGGAAAGAATAGTGGAAAAGGAGTAATTAAAGTTTCTTGTTTCCTTTGCTATGGAAGAAGAGAAAAGGGGAAAAAAAAGTGGGGAAATTGGGAGGAGAGAGTGAGGATTCTCCCAAATTTTATATTTTTTCATTCCCAAAAAACCCTTTTCAGTTGGGATATCATTGTCAAAAGACAGCATACTTTTTTTCTTTACTTTGTCATTTCCGTTCAACTTTTCAATACAACCAAAGAGGAATGGCCTCCATCATTTTCCTTCCTCCCAACTATTCTAGGATGAAATGATAACTGAAATACCAAAATAGGCATATGCATATATAAATATAATGGGCATATGTGTGTGTGTGTGTATATATATATATAGCTGAACAGTAGCTAAAATTCAATGATGTTCACTATTCTGACATTATCAATTTGAGTATGAGCTAAATTAATTAATAAAAAAAATTTAGTATGAGCTAGTGGAATATCGAAGTGTACTAATAAGGGTCACACCATCAACTACACTCTAGTAATGGGTTGTACTGACATTTAATGAACAAGATCAATTTTAGTGTGTGAGTGTGTGTGTGAGAGAGAGAGGGACCCACATCTCAACCATGGAAACAACCTCCTCTGGATCATCTACTGCATGCTCATTCAAAGCTTCCAACCTAAAACAGCAAAACTCATTAATTCACCAAACCAGTATATATGAACAAAATTGAAACCAAAATTGTGCAAAACAAGATTCAATTCCTACTTTTGATAAGAAAGCAGACAAAAACAGCCGATCAGAACCGTTGATCAAACAGATTGTGTATTGGAATGAACCTTTGAATTGAAATGGAAAAAGACCGTACCACGTATACTAGGAGGAATCAATGGAAAATCTCAGGGGCATTTTTGTCTTTTGGGATAAGCAAATCTCTCTAAAGGTTAAAGTGACATTTTTTAAGCACAGTGTGTGTGCATGTGACTGTCCGGGTTGTGTACACTGGCTCAAGGAGGAGGCAATCACTACCGTTAAGACCATGAAAAGGTGATTCTAGAGAGAGAGAACAAAAAAACAGGCGGATCAACTGAAAATTGATTTTCCTAGAGAGAGAGAGAGAGAGGCGAAGCCACTAGTCGGCGGGAAAATCTGTTAAATGACTGAATTGCCCAGTGAATGTTGGGTTTGGAAGTGAATAAGTAAGGGGATAAGAAAGTTATGCGAGGGTACTTATGGAAATATGAAGGTTTTCAAGGCACATTGAGCGTTTGTTGTTGCAGAGGAGGAATCTGGAAAATGAACGTAACGGAATAAACGGTCTAGATCTAACGGAAAGGGATCTCAACGGCTGAGATTGTTCTGATGTTCCCATAAAATTATATATATATATATACACACACAGACACAAATGTAATTGTAAATTGTAATATCTACATAATACTGACCTGGCCTCCATTGATGAGTTGCTGGAGCTCTGTAACTGCTCTGTTTCCACATTCCTGTTAAAGAAACAACCAATGTAAAGATTTTAACCACAATTTATCACGTTTAACTACGGGCTCTCGCTCTCTCTCTCTAAAAATCTCTCTACATTCTCTCTCTAGCTGTGAATTTCGTAGTATTTTGAGAAATCTAACCTCATTAGAGGCATAAACAGAGAATAACGAGTCAGTTCTCGAATCATGCTTAGAAATTAAAGAAAATAAAAACCCACAAATTGGAATCATCTGAAGATTATGCTGAGAACCCACATTTTGCTGATGAATTACGAACCAGAAGCAAAAAATCACACAAGAAATGTTGACTAACCAAAAACAGAACAAGCATTGCAACGAAGTGGTACATCTTTAACAGGTCAAAAACAGAGGAATTGTAGAAGTAGGGAGTGAAATTCACTCCAAATACTTTGAAAGAAGATAGATAGTGTGTGTCTCTGTGTGTGTTTAGAGAGAGAAACATACTTCGTCTGAGAAATGTGGTCCTCCCGAGAACTCGCGATTACCCCAACAACAAGCGACATGAAAAGCAGTAATGAAGAGAGAGAAATCCAGTTCTTGGGAGCCGCCATTGGCATTACAGTTCCGCGGGGCTCTCTCTAGGTTTCTCTCTCTGGCAATAAGAGAGAGTGAGAAAGCAGAGCAGAGCAGAGAAGTTCTGGAGTCGAAGAAGCAGCACCGACCGTAACGGCCACTTTATAAGAAAACTTTTGTTTTAACGTTAACGGTCGTTAACCTGAAACGTTTGACCGTGGTTAGGTTAAATTAACTAAACTCACTCCAATTTTGTAGTTTGTTGATCTAATAGTTTTTTTTTTTTTTTTTTCTTTCTTGATAAATATATTGACCAAATTGTTGAATTGAGAGATTCATTATAAAATTATTTAGCTTTTAAAATTTTCAAAAACTATTGGTGAAGGAGAGAGTGGAATTGAACTTAGACCGAAAAATTCACACTTTTATTTAGAAAGAATTTTTGTCACTCTAGAGAAAAGGACAACTAGCTGAAGTCACACAAACAATTGTATATTGGTTGAAAAATCAATTATCAAAGTTATAATTAACAAACCTTTTTTATTAAAATTTTAAAACTTAATATTAACCAATAACAGCTAGCAGTCCTCCTTGAAAAATCATTGACAACTCCGAAGGTACAAATTTTATAGTACTAAAATATCTGCTCACGTTGTCTATTGTATTGTTCCAATTTTACCATTATTACATTTTCATTTTGTATCAGCAACTCATTTCAATTATATGGGTTTTGAAAAAATATGGAATACTAGTGAGTTTGTATAGATATTATCTGTTTTGCATTCTTTTTACTCAAGTACGATCTTAAAATGTATCAACAATGTATAATTAGGAAGCGTTCACAAATAAGTGCCAACAAACTTATCCTTGGGTAATGTGAGACGTCAAAATTACCCCCACCTTAGGGCTAGCATTCTCGTTGGTCAAACACTCATGGCTTATGCAAGCTATCCCATTTTCAGCAAGAAATTAGTTTCGGTACCATCAGTTAGGACCTGCCCGATTCTATATAGGCAGGGGCGGAACCAGTGTATGTCTAGAGTGGCCTGGCCCCACCCACTATACATATAAAAAAAAATTATATTGTGTGTGTGTATATATATATATATATGAATTTTTTATATAATGTCCCTCCTAAAATTATTAGTTTTTAAAAGTATCTCTTATTTTTCTAGTTTGTTTCTTAATTTACTCTTCAAATTCCTTATAAAAAAAAAGTTCAATTTTATTTGTTAAAATAAATTTTAATTTTTTCCTTTTAAGTTGTCATTTTTCTTACTTTTTTTTCTTTTTTCTTAATTATTTTTTCCCTTCTTCTCTTTTAAATAAATTTTTTTTCTTAACACTCTGCCCCTTAAACTAAAATACTGACTCCACCCCTTTATATAGGTATTGTCTGTTTTTCACACTATTTATGCTCTCATTTTTCAAAATATATAAACAATTAAAATTAGTCCACACATTTTAATGTCAACAACCTCTCCGTTTGGACGATGTAAGACATCACACTATAATTCCGCTTTAGCAACTTCTGCAACTCACCAAATTTGTGACATTCCTGGCCTCTGCTGTAACCCTTCATGCGATGCTCATTAAATGGACAGGGGTTGAATTAATTACTACTCACGAAATTTGGACGGGAATGAAAAAATATATTTTTATAGTAGGGCCCGAATAGCATTTAGGTAAATTCTTTTAATACCAGCCTCATTCTCATCCATAGTTATGGCACTGTATATAGCAAAAAATCATCTTAAAAAAAATTGGGTCAATTATGTTTGTTTTTTATTTATATACTAGACAATCGTTATTATAGAATTTTAAGAGTTTAGATGTATGTAATTTTACCTCTGCATGCAAAGATGATGCACTTCTTTTTTCAAATGAGCAACCTTACCGTGCCAAGATTTATCCTTATAAAGTTCTTATATGAGTTCTAAAAAAAAAAATTATTATCATGTTAATAAATAAATTGACTTAATAAAACACATATCGAAATCGTTAACTTTTACAAACTTGAATATGCAACATTTCATTAGAATGATAAAAATTATCACTTGACTAGAAAGAAAGATACATTAAAAACACATGTCCAACATTTAAAGAGAGAATCACATGAGACAATTAAAATTCTATGTCAAAAAATAATTTAACATCGTTTAAAGTTTGAACAATTTTTTTTTTTTTTTTTTTTTTTTTTTCTAATTACAAAACACGTCAATTTGGTGTATTTGAACAACACAAATAACTTTTCAAATGTCACTCGGATCGGGTAAAATTTGACTAGTCATCAGCGAAAGTAATTCCCAGAAATTGTCTATATCTTAGAGGGATCAAATCTTATATGCACCACATAACTTAGTAGTTTAGGGGAGGCAATTCGAATTCACCGATTAATGTGTCAATTTAGGGATATTTTACTAAATACTAGTTCAATCTGAACACGACCCATTTAATATTTGTATTAAGAACCCTCAATATTAACTCGATCTTGACCTGTTTATTAAACGGATTACCTGTGTAACCCGTTTAATGACCTACTTACTAAAATAAAATATTATATTATTTAAATTGATAATAATATTCAATCAAACAATATATACTAAAAATATATAAGCTTCAATCCAATCAAATAGTTAATTAGGGGTGTTCAAAAAATCCGTTAAATCGAAAAATTGGACCGGATCGCACTGAATTGAGCAGTTTGAACTAATTGTATAGCGGTTTGATCCGGTCCTAAACCCAAAATTATGGAACCGTAAGTTTTTCAGTCCGGTCCTGATGGACCAAATCAGCCCGGACCGAACAGTTACAATGTTATATATATATATATATATATATATATATATATATATATATATATATATGTGTGTGTATGTATGTATATCATATCCTAAACCTAAATCAAGTAAGGTTTTCATGTGCCCCTTTTCTTTTTTTTTATTCTTTAAATTCCTTAAATTTCTTTTAAAAAAAGTCAAATTTCTCTTTTCAAATATATCTTAATTCTCTTTCGTATCAAATATAACTCAATTTTCTTTCCTATATTTCTTCTTAATTTTTTTTTTTTTTTTTGGCGTGTTATATCAATGTTAGTTGAATTTCTTTTTTTAAAAAACTTTGCCCCCTCTAAATTAAAATAAAATAAAAAGGAAATAACTGAAATTGACAAACCGAACCGAACCGGTTTTTATCGGTTTGGTTTGGTTTGGTTTGGTTCCATGGACATTATGGTTCGGTCCAGTTTCAAAAGTAGTGAAACTATTCTAAATAGTTTGGTTCCAAAATACTCCCAATTCGATCCAAACCAGACCGTGTGCACCCCTAGTTAATAATCTCTAGTTTACAAAATAGTAAATTATAATATACAAGTTTATATAGTAATTTTGAAACTTAAATATAAATTTATTTATGACATGTATATTTAAACCACTATAAATGAGTTATACGGGATGAATTACCTCAATCCAAACACAACACGATTAACTAAATTAGTTAATCGTGTCAACTGTCAACCCACTTATAATCCAAATTCATTTAAAATTAACTCAAACTTATTGAATTCGTATCATGTCAAACTTTGTCACCTATACTTACGTCCCTTTCAATTGAATCATTTATCTTTCAGTATTTCCATTTTATTTATTACATTTATAATTTTAGGGCTCCCTGGTAGGAGCACGATTATATCCCCATGCACCAACCAAGTGGCTCACATCATGGCAACATTTCACGCGTGTAACAAATTCATCTTTCCCATTTTGATCCTCACCATGTATAGAAAGGCACACACGACATCATGATTTACAAGCAGCAATCAGGACCATTGATTGTCTGGACCAATCTAGCATCATTGACATTAATTAGTTAAAATAACCGAATAAATCACCACACTTGAAAAATAACTTGTACCAAAATATAGATGAACGTGTTGAGATATTGGCCATTGGATGAGACAACCAATATTTAATCGGTGGTTAGTTAGTGGTTAGTTTTTGAGTAGTGATTTGAAAACTAAAATAAGTAATGATGTGATTCTATTATTAGGAGAACCCACTTACCTTCCCTCTCATTTTGGTTTATTTGTTTCACTTAGTAAGAATTTAGGTGGATGCCAACAAAAATTATCAACCCCTCTCAATCATCTTCATATCTTGACCTATAAGCAATGTGTGAGTGTGTGTGACAGAGAGATGGGTAATGGATTATTGCTTCACTCTTTTACTCAATTAAATTTTGACATTATGGAAAGAAAAAGCAAGATTTTGTAGGCCATGTTTGGTTACCAGAAATTTAGGAGTTCCAACCAATTCCATTAACTTCTTGATTTCACCCCCAAAATGTGATGGGTCAAGACCAGGCCTGTCTTCACCGACCCTCGAAATTTGTTAAAGGTTCGTTGTTAAGGCTAACAAGGCAATTAATTGAATTTAATTAATCGGTTCTGAAACCAAAATTCTGCTTAAATTCAAATCAACTGCTCAAATTGTTCCTTAGTTATAAAAAACAATTACATTTCTTTTGGCTTATTGTACTCTCTTACATGCAGGACCTTTTATTTTTTATTTTTTTGGGGATAAGGTTTGTGCTTGAACTTTAAAAGAGAAGGATGACATTAAGCTTTCGATTCAGGTAGTACTCTGCCAAGGACTGTAAACTATGTGTATTAATCAACTCACTGTAAGACTTGAGCCGAGAGTATCTCCACAACGGGCTTATCATCCAAAGAATCAATACAGCCGCTAGTCATTTTGGACTCCCAGTAACAAGTGGGGCTCTGGTGGGCCTGAGCCCCTTAAAAAAAAAGAAAAAAAAAATTATTATAAATAATTTTAGCTTAACCAAAAAACAAAAATTTTGTAGTACTAGCTCACCTCATAATATATTAGCCCACCCCAGAATATATTTGTGGGTATGTACTTGTCCAATTGTTTCAACAAACTACGTGTATCAATTAAACTCACCATAAGACTCGAATAGAGCAGTACATTTACAAAGACCTTACCTCTAATACGAACTAATAAGAAAGATTTTAACCTTTGAAATACCAATTATACCACCCACATTGTCAAAATTAGGTTATTTAAAAAATAAAAAATAAAAACCAAAAAAAAAAAAAAAATGCACAAGCAAATTGCAATT